CTTTTTTTCTTGATAAGTGTGGCTAATGGTTTATCAATTTTGTTTATCTTCTCAAAGAACCAGCTTTTAGTTTTATTGATCTTTGGTATATTTTCCTTCATTTCTTTTTCATTTATTTCTGATCTGATTTTTATGATTTCTTTCCTTCTGCTAACTTTGGGCTTTTTTTGTTCTTCTTTCTCTAATCGCTTTAGGTGTAAGGTTATGTTGATTATTTGAGATGTTTCTTGTTTCTTAAGGTAGGCTTGTATAGCTATAAACTTCCCTCTTAGAACTGCTTTTGCTGCATCCCATAGGTTTTGGGCAGTTGTGTTTTCATTGTCATTTGTTTCTAGGTCTTTTTTGATTTCCCCTTTGATTTCTTCAGTGATTTCTTGATTATTAAGTAGTGTGTTGTTTAGCCTCCATGTGTTTGTATTTCTTACAGATTTTTTCCTGTAATTGATATCTAGTCTCATAGCATTGTGGTCGGAAAAGATTCTTGACACGATTTCAATTTTCCTAAATTTACCAAGGCTTGATATGTGACCCAAGATATGATCTATCCTGGAGAATGTTCCATGAGCACTTGAGAAGAATGTGTATTCTGTTGTTTTTGGATGGAATGTCCTATAAATATCAATTAAGTCCATCTTGTTTAATGTATCATTTATAGCTTGTGTTTCCTTGTTTATTTTTATTTTGGATGATCTCTCCATTGGTGAAAGTGGGGTGTTAATGTCCCCTATTATGATTGTGTTACTGTCGATTTCCCGTTTTATGGCTGTTAGTATTTGCCTTATGTATTGAGGTGCTTCTATGTTGGGTGTATAAATATTTACAATTGTTATATCTTCTTCTTGGATTGATCCCTTGATCGTTATGCAGTGTCCTTCTTTGTCTCTTGTAATAGTCTTTGTTTTAAAGTCTATTTTGTCTGGTATGAGAATTGCTACTCCAGCTTTCTTTTGATTTCCCTTTGCATGGAATATATGTTTCCATCCCCTAACTTTCAGTCTTTATGTGTCCCTAGGTCTGAAGTGGGTCTCTTGTAGACAGCATATATACGGATCCTGTTTTTGTATCCATTCAGCCAGTCTACGTCTTTTGCTTGGAGCATTTAATCCATTTACATTTAAGGTAATTATGGATATGTATGTTCCTATTACCATTTTCTTAATTGTTTTGGGTTTAATATTGTAGTTCTTTTCCTTTTCCTGTGTTTCCTGCCTAGAGAAATTCCTTTAGCATTTGTTGTAAAGCTGGTTTGGTGGTGCTGAATTCTCTTAGTTTTTGTTTGTCTGTAAACCTTTTAATTTCTCCATCTAATCTGAATGAGATCCTTGCTGGGTCGAGTAATCTTGGTTGTACGTTTTTCTTTCATCACTTTAAATATGTACTGCCACTCCCTTCTGGCTTGCAGAGTTTCTGCTGCAAGATCAGCTGTTAACCTTATGGGGATTCCATTATGTGTTACTTGTTTTTCCCTTGCTGCTTTTAATATTTTTTCTTTGTATTTAATTTTTGATAGTTTGATTAATATGTTTCTTGGCTTGTTTCTCCTTGGATTTATGCTGTATGGGACTCTGTGTCCTTCCTGGACTTGATTAAATATTTCCTTTCCCATTTAGGGAAGTTTTCAACTATAATCTCTTGAAGTATTTTCTCAGTCCCTTTCTTTTTCTCTTCTTCTTCTGGGACCCCTATAATTCGAATGTTGGTGCATTTAATGTTGTCGCAGAGGTCTCTGAGACAGTCCTCAATTATTTTCATTCTTTTTCTTTATTCTGCTCTGCAGTAGTTATTTCTACGATTGTTTCTTCCAGGTCACTTATCCATCCTTCTGCCTCAGTTATTCTGCTATTGATCCCTTCTAGAGAATTTTTAAGTTCCTTTATTGTGTTTTTCATCACCGTTTGTTTGCTTTTTAGTTCTTCTAGGTCCTTGTTTAACGTTTCTTGTATTTTCTCCATTCTATTTCCAAGATACTGGATCATCTTTACTATCATTATTCTGAACTCTTTTTCACATAGACTGCCTATTTCCTCTTCATTTGTTAGGTCTGGTGGGTTTTTGCCTTGCTCCTTCATCTGCTGTGTGTTTCTCTGTCTTCTCATTTTGCTTAACTTACTGTGTTTGGGGTCTCCTTTTCGTAGGCTGCAGGTTCGTAGTTCCTGTTGTTTTTGGTGTCTGTCCCCAGTGGCTAAGGTTGGTTCAGGGGGTTGTGTAGGCTTCCTGCTGTAGGGGACTAGTACCTGTATTCTGGAGGATGAGGCTGGATCTTGTCTTTCTGGTGTGTAGGTCCACATCTGCTGGTGTGTTTTGGGGTGTCTGTTGCCTTATTATGATTTTATGCAGCCTCTGTGCTAATGGATGAGGTTGTGTTCCTGTCTTGCTAGTTGTTTGGCATAGGGTGTCCTGCACTGTAGCTTGCTGGTCGTTGAGTGGAGCTGGGTCTTGGCATTGAGATGGAGCTCTCTGTGAGATTTTCATCGTTTGATATTTCGTGGAGCTGTGAGGTCTCTTGTGGACCAGTGTCCTGAACTTGGCTCTCCCACCTCAGTGGCACAGACCTGAAGCCTGGCTGGAGCACCAAGAGCCTGTCTTCCACATGGCTCAGAATAAAAGGTAGAAAAGAAAGAAAGAAGAAGATAAAATAAAATAAAGTTATTAAAATAAAAAAATAATTATTAAGAAAAATATTTTTTAAGTAAAAAAAAGGATAGAGAGAACCCTAGGACAAATGGTAAAAACAAAGCTATACAGACAAAATCACACACAGAAGCATACACATACACACTCACAAAAAGAGAAAAAGTGAGAAAAAAAAAATCTTTGCTCCCAAAATCCACCCCCTCAATTTGGGATGATTCGTTGTCTATTCAAGGATTCCACAGATGCAGGGCACATCAAGTTGATTGTAGAGATTTAATCCGCTGGTCCTGAGGCTGCTGGGAGAGATTTCCCTTTCTCTTCTTTGTTCGCACAGCTCCCGGGGGTTTGGCTCGGATTTGGCTCCGCCTCTGCATGTAGGTCGCCAGAGGGCATCTGTTTTTCGCTCAGACAGGACGGGGTTAAAGGAGCAGCTGATTCGGGGGCTCTGGCACACTCAGGCCGGGGGGAGGGAGAGGCAAGGAGTGTGGGGCGGGCCTGCGGCGGCAGAGGCCAGCGTGAAGTTGCACCAGCCTGAGGTGCGCCGTGCGTTCTCCTGGGGAAGTTGTCTTTGGATCGCGGGACCCTGGCAGTGGCGGGCTGCACAGGCTCCCCGGAAGCGGGGTGTGGATAGTGACCTGTGCTCGCACACAGGCTTCTTGGTGGTGGCAGCAGCAGCCTTAGCATCTCATGCCCGTCTCTGGGGTCCGCGCTGATAGCCGCGGCTCGCACCCATCTCTGGAGCTCCTTTAAGTGCGCTCTTAATCCCCTCTCCTCGCGCACCAGGAAACAAAGAGGGAAGAAAAAGTCTCTTGCCTCTTCGGCAGGTCCAGACTTTTCACCGGTCTCCCTCCCGCTTAGCCGTGGCGCAGTAACCCCTTCAGGCTGTGTTCACGCCACCAACTCCAGTCCTCTCCCGGCACTCCGACCGAAGCCTGAGCCTCAGCTCCCAGCCCCTGCACGCCCCGGCGGGTGAGCAGACAAGCCTCTCAAGCTGGTGAGTGCTGGTCGTCACCGATCCTCTTTGTGGGAATCTCTCCGCTTTGCCCTCCAAACCCCTGTAGCTGCTCTCTCCTCCGTGGCTCTGAAGCTCCCCCACTCCGCCACCGGCAGTCTCCACCTGCAAAGGGGCTTCCTAGTGTGTGGAAACCTTTCCTCCTTCACAGCTCCCTCCCAGAGGTGCAGGTCCCGTCCGTATTCTTTTGTCTCTGTTTTTTCTTTTTTCTTTTGCCCTACCCAGGTATGTGGGGGAGTTTCTTGCCTTTTGGGAGGTCTGAGGTCTTCTGCCAGTGTTCAGTAGGTGTTCTGTAGGAGTTTTTCCACGTGTAGATGTATTTCTGGTGTATCTGTGGGGAGGAAGGTGATCTCCGCATCTTACTCTTTTGCCGTCTTGAAGCTCCCTTTTTCTCTTTTTAAATTAAAAAAAATTTTTTTGGGGGGGTTAGGTTTTTAAAGGATAAAGTAGAAAGCACTATATAATTGCAAGGTATTGATATTGATATCCTCCAAAGTAACTAGATACTTTGTACTGTCTCAATAATAGAAATTCCACTTTCCCATTGTGTTCAGGGAAATATTCTAGCATTTTCCCATGAATGAAACTTTGTTATTCTGTTTCTTTGGCTTAGAAAATATTGCATAACTCAGGGAAATGGGATCATTTTATCAGAGAATTTGGCATAAATATATTTACCAAAAGCTTGTTCTTTTAAATTCTCTCTGGCAAAGTGGGCATTTAATCAACAGAGTGAGAAAATAGAGATTTAGTCTAGAACTTAATTGGACTAAGATTGAGGGTGGGAGCTGGAAGAATCTGAAACATTCATTAGTCTGTGGTTTCTCCAATTTTATAAATAATTATTATTGATTAATGAAGCTATCTCTTAACTTCTCTATTCCAGTTTTGGAAACAGAAACACAGAATATCCACTGCTTTAAGATTGCTGTTCTAAGGTGATTCTATTTGGTAAAGATGCCAAGGGAACACAATTAATCATGTTCATGAGTTACTAGTTAAATCAAATAGGCTTGCCTACCATAAGAAACTAAGAAAGTTATGAGGAGCCAAAAACGCCAAGGTGGTAAAATATGGAGGCACATTTGCAATTGTGAATTATTCAGAACATAAATATACAATTTATTGCTGCTTGTTGCTGTAATAAATCTTTACTAATGGAAGTCTTTTAGTTTGAAGTTTGGAATAATTTGGAGTCTTGGCTGAGATTTGTCCTTTTTTTCATTATGAAGATAGGGCTTGCAAAGCAAGTTAGTGGTCACACAATGAGGATAATGTTTTTGAAAGTCCAGGTCCTCTGCTGCCTTTCTTTTTAAATAAATAATAAATGTCATCATCACATTTTTTATCCCAGAAAAAGAAGAGAATACAAAGGCAGGCCTTTCACACATGAAGCAAAAGGAATAAAACCCTAAGACCACTGGAAAGAAGAGAAGAGATGAAGAATTCAAGGACATAATGGGCAAGAGGTGAGTCATGAGCAATGAGCAAACATGCTGGTAAATGTTTACCATAGTATTTGCCAGTTTCTGTTGTGTAAAGACATTATGGACAATTTCAAGCTACCAATCTGAAGTCACTGAGTGGAGAGTTGGAAAGATACATTACACATAAATAACCTCAAGGACATAGATATTAGTGAAGTCGATTTTATTAGAAAAATACTAATAAAACTAGAAAAAATGTATTAAAATTATTAGGACATGATGAGTTGGAGTATTTATTACCTTTGTTCTTAATGTAATTAAATGTAAGTTCAATAATTTAATTAAAAATGATGTCTGTGTTTAACAGCTAGCTGGCAACATCCCTGAAAATATAATGGTCAGCTTTCATGAGCTGGTATAAGCTGGCTCCAGTATACCACTGGATCTTGGCTACATTCTCTCTCCCAAAATTGAGACCCTGGGGGACAACAAAACGTATCCAAATAAATTTTGGGGAATCCAGAAATATCGGGTTTTGAACTCCGATTTCCTGGATTCTGAAGAGATTATACAAATCTTTCAGGGAAGCCCTGAATTCAGAATGGTGTCATGAACAATATGGTTGGGAGCATAAAAGCCGTGATGTTCTTAGAGGAATTGAATGGACCAGGGATAATTTTCTCAATTGTGTGAAGCCTATTTGTGGTATCCATAAGCTCCTGTGTGACCAGATAGTGTGCCAAGGAAATGTTGAGAAAACTGATAGAACAGAAGGGGCCTTGACTAGATGCTATGACAGGAACACGTATTTCATAATGGTTGTTAGCATAAAGCCTCAAAAGACCAGATGGAAAGATTGGTTGAAGATGAATACCTGTTGAGGATGCTTAGTTACTCACTAGGACAAAGCATATCACAGTGGCAGCCAGCATGATGTGAAATGGTAGTTTCTGGATCAGTGGCACCACCCTACCACCTCTGTGAGTATTTGGATGGATCTTGAAATGGAGAAGGTAGAATAGAAGCCCTATGGCAGAGCAAAAACTGTCTTGATAGGGAGTTTACATTTTGAGCTACTGAATATTTAACTCAAATAATAATATTAATAGGAAAGTTCAAGATATTTTTCTTTAGTCATTGAATTAGGGGCAGGAATGCAAGAAGAACTCATAGAAAATAAAGTTACATTTTTGCGGTATATCTGAGTTCTAGCAGGTAAATTTCAGTTCCTCTATAGTCAGCACCTGTTTGTAAGGAGAATGTTTCCATTAAGTCATTCCTCAAAAATCTCTGTACAAATTATGTATTTGAAATAATAATTTGTAAATTTTGTTTCATGTCCAAATAAATTTCTGGCCAAGATTTCCCATTACATTTCTGTCTTGTGTTTGTAAAAGCCTTGAAAAATCCCAGGTTTATGCTTTCAGTCACCTCCAGAGCAGTGTATCTAAATCTGAACTTCTTATTCTCCTTTTTTCCCCACCATCTGATTTCACAACTAATTCTTCCCTATCTAACAGGGTGCCAGAATTGTTCCAGTTCTCTTGGCTTACAACTTTGATGTAACCATTTATTTCTTCCTTTCCCTAGATCCACATGTCCAGTCAGTCAACAGGCTCTTTCAATTCTGCCCACATGGTGACTCATATCTCTTTATTCCTTCGGATTCCTCCTCTCTTAACTGTAATCCAGGTCCCTTTCACCTCATGTTTAAATAACTGTGGTAGCCTCCTAGCAGTTCTCTCTATCTTCAGCCTCTGCTGTTCCTTCATCCTGCTAAAAATAATGCTTGTGTGATCTTCCTAGTGACCTTCATTTACCACCCTGCGCTTAGTCCGCAACGACTCTCTACCAGCTCTTGCATTAGGCCAAATGCTCAGCGCGGCAGTCACCATCTTCCACCAGCCAGTTTGTTGTTTTTAACAGAACATTATAATTCTTTCCTGTCACAAGCCGTTTTTTATGGCAAGCAACTTGCCTTTCTGTTCTATTCATTCCCTACTTGTCACTCATTTCTCTAGCCTTCCCTGTCCTTCTCCTAAAATTCCCTTATCTCTACTCATGAAAAGCCTATATTCTCTCAGCTAAAGTCACCTCTTCCTCTAAACTTTCCTGACTTCCCCAGGCCTCAGGAAGAAGTCCCACTCGGAATATCTAAAACATTATAATATGCATCATACGAAATGTCACTTGATTAGAGATTTTCTTTTCTGTCCATTATTTGTCACATATGTCAAAATAAATTGTGAAGTCCTTAAGAACAAAGTTTAGATCTTCTCTTTCTTTTATAGTCTCCATAACACTTAGCATAATCTTGGGCATATGTATTGATATTTTCAAAATTATTGGAAAAGCAAATTAATAAACCAATAAATAAATATCCATTAAGCAAACCTTATTGACTTGGTTTTTGAAATATACATTTAAGTAAAAAACTTTTATTTCTTTAAGGACATTTCATTAATTGAACCTGGCCTTCTTCTAACCAGTCTAAATTGAGATATTTACATGCAAAGGAAAGTTTTACAAAGAAAAATCTAGAAACATTATGTGCTATAAATTACTACTAGGTAGTTTATTTTTGTGGTTCCATTTTGGTCAATATGCTTGATTTTTATCATAGGAAAATAAAACTACTGACCCATCACCAACCTACTGACCATCCCTTAAGTTGTTTTACCATACAAGATTAGATATTGACTGGTTTATTCATTCATTTATTCAGCAAATATAAATCAGACACCTGTTTGTGTCAAGCATGGGTCTAGAACCTACCTATGTGGCAATGTAGATATGATACCTATTTTACAAAGCTTAGACTTTTTCAAGAAGATAAATAGTAAACAATAATGAAAAAAACCAAAATACTGTGGAGGCAGTGGAGGAGTAAGGTGGAAGAGCAAGTTCTGGAGTTATGCTACTTGGGTTTGATACTGGACTAGTTCAAGCCTTTCTAATTGTGTGATACTGGCAAATTTTTTACCTTATCAAGCCTCACTTTCATCATTTGAAAACTTGGAATAAATTTAGTCATGAAAATCAAATTTAAAAAATGTAAATTGCTAGAACTTAGAGAGCCATCTAAAGTAGTGACAGTTAATTTGTATAGATACAGTTGGAATTTTAATAACAATCACTGAGTGTAATGAAGGAGAAGTACAGGGCAACAGTGAAGGGGCAGAGAGAATCAGGGAGGTTTCCCTTAGGAAGTGAGAAAAGGAGTGACTTAAAAATGAAATAATGGGATTGGAGGTTGAATTAATCCACAGAAGAAGATAGAATTTTACAAGAAGAGCAAGAGTTATGACCTGGAAGAAGAAGGGAGCGGGTCAGGAATTCAGGAGAGAGAGAACACTAACTTCTATTTTCTGACCTTCTGGGAAACTGGTGAGTAGCAGCTACAGCCAGGGAAAGTTCAGGAGAGAGCCTGGTTTTATTAAGGACAGCAGATAATGAAAGTGTTAAGGCCATAAGAGGGCTTGTTTAAAGTGGGACATATTTTACCTACAACATACGAAGGACTCATCTTTGGGTACGATGTGTCAGCGAGTGATATAATAGGAAGCTACTCAGGCTTTAGGCAAACAACTAGACTAAATATCATTAAAAAAATATATGGATGGAATGCCTTTTATGTTGACACATCTTAACGATTTATGGGTGCATTGTTTTTCTCCTATTTTGTAGCATTACAGGCATTACAAATAACTTCACTTGGTGATCCGTTATGTTAAAAAAATTCTTGTCCTTGGCCCTTTTAAGCTTGTATAGTGCTTTATAACAATGCATTAGGCTTTTAAAGTAAAATTTCTTGAATTTAGTTTCTTTATATATTTTTTAAAACTTCTTTTTGATTTATAAAGCTCTTTTGGTAACAACAGGACTAGTTTCCATTAGACCATTATTATTATACGATTATTATTTAGAATTAGACCATTTATTATTTAGTATATTTCCTATCTGGAGTGTAGGTGTAGCAATAGCTATGGGGGACATGCCATATCCCTTTAGCTCAGCTCTGCACACCAAACCCTGCTTAATGAATTCTCAGCTACTTTCTGCCTGAGGGCTTTTTACTGACCCTGGGAAAAATCTTAGCTTATGCAAAAGGCAAGTCAGAAATGCCAGAAAGTTAATGCTGCTAGAGTAGCTCTCTACCTTGGACAGTTGGGGAGGTGATGGAAAGATATTTCTCACTTTCTCTGCTGTCAGGTGGAATAATTCCGAGATATGTTCCACATTGTCTCCTAGAGGTCCAAGGTGGAATTAAGTCACATTTGTCTACCCTGCTAACCAGGGTGATAATCCACATGATATAGGCTTAATTCCTTTCCCCGTCTCATTCCCAACTGCCCTACCAATGTTTCTTGGGATCACCTCCCAAGTAAATTACATGCACTCAACTCGCCTCTGGATCTGCTCCTGAGAGAACACAATCTAAAATGGTGGGGAAGTAAAAACTGTAGAAAAGATACTTTTGAACTCAACATATAAAAGACAGAGTTTTATCATAAAGATGCACAATGTTGTAAATATGAAAGTTCTAAATCAAAGAACTTGGTTTCAGATCCTCTCCATAGTTTTCCTCTATTTTCTTTCTCTCAAAATAACAACAGTAACAGCAAAAACTAAAATTTGTAGAAATTTTTAAATTATAAAATTATGAAGTTAGTACAATATATGCCAGGACATTTTCTAAATATTTTACACATAAAATTCCCTCAATTCTCATAACATCTTTGTAGTGTACCATCAAGTAGATGTATCATAATGGTTGGTATACCAGCATCCCAATTTTAAAGAAGTAAAGTGAGAAGTTGAATTTCTTACCCAGAATCATAATGCTAAAGGGTAGGTATAACTCAAGCAGTGAGATCTCAAAGCACATGCTCATAAACACCATGCTATGAAGCCTCTGTGCAAATGTATCTGTAACTATCGCTTCAATAACCTCCTGCCAGCCATGACTCCTGCATCATCACATTCTATTCATACCTGTCTATAACCTCCAGAACTATCAACCAACTGTCCCC